GCTACTCAGGCTACGACTGCGCGGCACTAAACGAACGTCGCGATTTTGCAGTGTCTTCGTTTGAAGTGCATTGATCGATTTTGATGGCGTGTCGTAATCCAACCGCTGCAGCACCCCCAGGCGACCTCGTGATGGGGGACGACAAGTACACGGAAACGATGGTCATTGTTAACCAGTCTGGTACTCAAGAACCTGAGCAATACCTTTCTCCTCTTCCTTCTCAGCTGAACTATAGCAACGATACTGGCACGGAGACCGGTGTGGCCATGGCGGAGGCAGATGCCGAACGGAACCTCAAACTTCTCAGACTTAAAGTCAATGTTTCCCTACCCAGATCCGAAAGTAGCACACGTATTCGTCGGTGGTCAAAAGCGCCGGCGCCACCACAACCTCCACCCAAGACGAGTTGGTTCAGCCGAAGATCCAAGCCTACCGTAGAAACCCCTGCCGAACCCGACAACGCCTTTACCAGACTCACCGCAGATCCTAGGTTACCATTCACTGGACCTACCGAACCGGACGCAACTTCTGCTCGGGATCTTGACAATGCCAGTCCGTTAACCCTGGGACTGTGCGAACAATTCCCATGCCACTACTGCATATTTGTCTACAGTCGTCCAAGCGATGTATGTTTAACGGCGCTTCTTTGCCTCTGATGAGAGACCAGGGAAAGTATGCATTGTCGGGAGGGGTCAAACTATATTATTTAGACACACTTTAAAGAACGTGAAGTCAGCAAGAACTCGGGAGATTATTTTGCTATACCGTTTTAGGCTGTAGTCCTAAAACAAAGGGGAAATTGCTCGTACATGCACGTGCAATTAAACTATTTCAATGAGAGTCCGTGGTTTGTCTGGCAAATATTTGAAGACTAACAATCACCTGCATATAGATTTAGGTCGCAGGCCTTCTTGGGCTCTGATTCGTTTACATTTGACTGATTTTTATTAGCAAATGTATCAGAATGATCCTCCCAATCAGATTTTGCGTTACCATCGTCCCATTATAAGAGCCTGTGGAGACTGCGTGAACATTCTACAAAGTTTTTAGGTGAGGTCCTTGGCTGAGAACGGAGTATTTTCACATTTATCCATAGATTGCACCCTACTGGTGAATGCAAACAAACAAGCAAACGACTAAGGCAAACAGCAGTTAATTTCCTAACTATTTACTCTCAGAGAGGTGTGTGATATTAAACAACCTGCATTCTTATTTTCTTTTTTGTATCAACTATTTTGCATTGCGTGAAGAAGTCATTTAGTATTGTCTGTTAGTGCCCAAGTACGCAACCAAAAGTGCAATTCTTATAATTGACTTACACCATGCGACAACATTTGTGACTTCCGACTTCTAACCCCTTTCCTCTTCTACACTCACAGGCGGATGATGACACATTTCCCTTCCGGCGAAGTGAAATCGTCGCCCACGTCAACGATGCTCCCCACGATGCGACCCGCATGAAAATCTTGGACAGTCCTGAATACCGCGACGCTGTACGTGACCGCCGTATAGTCTACATTGAAATCAACAGCAATTGCAGAATTCGCTTGGGTGAACTGGAAGGCAGAAAGTCCCTGAAGAGGGGTCTACCGCGCCGAAGACTCACTATTGCCGGACCCACCTTTTCGCATATCTGTGTTGCGGTCCAACTCCTGGAGCACATGTTTCCCCGGCTCATGCAGTATGCTCTCTATCCCTATCGTCTTCCGTCGCCGGCTTCAGCTAATTATACCTCAAAGGACAAGCTCACCGTCAATTACAATGACTACGTGACTAGGCAGCCTGCCTGGCTTGGTCTCGTTCCAAACATTGTTGAACGCGGCAGCTGGGCTAACTTCTGACTTCTAAAAAATGCGGCAACCGGTGTAAGTTCTGACTACTAAAGAATGTTGGGAATGTTAGGGATTTCCACTCACATAGACACGAGAAGTTAGGGGGTAGTGACAACACTTATGACGCAGTCTGTACGTGAAGCATTACTTTAACAGCGATATTTTGGCGCGTTTTGTTTGGAGAGCCGAGTAGTGTTTGCGGCACACGTGGGCGAGTTCAACAGCTTTCGGAAGTAGAAGATGCGATCACTGGAACAAAAAGTTTATTTGCCTGACGTTTCGGGTCATGTCGAGAACCCTTCATCGGGGATAACCGTAGAACACTATGATACATTCGCAGATTAGGGTGATATATGCACTTGGAGGTGGAGTTGCGCACAGGCCAAAAGCTATCATCAGGCGCCGGGTCATGAGACTGAAAAACCCAGTGCCACGACAGGAGTCGTTTACCGGATCTGGTTAAGTTGTAAAGCAACTACGTTGGAGAAACCGGGAGATTACTCCAGACGCGAATGGCCGCGCACACAGCGGCGATGAGGATTAAAGACACTAACTCAGCAGACGCGTCTTCGACCGCGTTCCCACCCGACCTCACTGTGGCCAAGGTCTGCTACACCAAACCTCCCTACGGTGGATCTAT